GGAACCGATTTACAAGTGTTGAATATACTTGTAGAGACCATACTAATATCCTGACTAAAGTCCTGACATTTTTATTCGAAAGTCAAAATTGAAATATGTATGTGATTGGCAATATTTCAAGGTTTCATTTAATAATAACTATAAATAAGGTTATATAATCGTACATATGAACGCAATTATTTGCAGAATTCCACCATTTAAAGCAATAATTTACAATAGAATTTAGCTGTAGTTAATGAATTTTGTATATACTGAGATTGTTTTAAAACAAAAATAATAAATTATTAATGCAATAAATTAATAATAAATAATTTTAATAGACAACAATTGTTTTTTCTCAAAGTTAAAAGCGAAAAAGGAAGGAAGATTGTTTATTTTTATAAGCAACTCAAACTGTATCAAATCATTCCAAGAGTAAACAAGTTCTGTTTAAAAAACCATCACAGTTATCTGTTGCCGATTGGCCCTCATTTTCAAGAAAGGGAAAAACTATTCATAAAGCACACTATTAACATACAAGCAATTCATGCCATATGGATAATTATAACGAGACCCATTAAAGGAAATACTATACAATACACAAATGTATGTATGTATTAAGCTTTCTTAATATAATAACATTTTGTATTACTTTATAAGAATTTTGCATCCAAACAAGGAAAAAAATTATTTACAGTTTAGCATCTGTGCAGTATACAGATACGTTACTTAATGACTTTGTTTAATTGTACAAACTGAAAAGTAACAATATTGCAATTTTATCTTCGAGCCACTTGAACTAGAAGACAAGTTCTGTCCGCCAAGATATTTCAAATGGAGGACACGGGTCACGCTCTCCCCAAAATATGAGTTGCAAATTATGAATAATGATTACATGGTCAGACGAATGATTAACACCTGGCCAGCATTTCACACATTTTAGCTCGCGTACCAAAATTTGACAGCCCACTGAGAAGAGGAAGCTGCGAGAGCTGCCTGTGTCTCTATCTCTTGTGTTCGAGTATGTGTGTGTGTGTGTGCATTTGTATCAGATTATGAGCAACAAACATTTTCGGCCATGTTTGTTTGCTTTGCTCCGCCTAGTCGACTGCGCTGTGTGCGTATACTTGTGAGTGTGTGAGTGCGAGTGCGAGTGTGTGCGTGTGCGTGCGTGCGGGTGTGAGTGCCGCTGCCTCTCTTATCTGTGTGTGAGGGCGTGCGTCTGTTCGTCTGTGCATCTGTGTGTATCTCAGTCGCAGCAAATCCTCTCTTGCGCATGTCTTATACGCGGGCCAGTTAAGCAGTTTGCTCAGCTCGTTCTCAAGTAGGTAGGCGAAACAATCGAGCGACCCTCGCCAGCGCCATTTTCGCTAAGCTGCGACGTTTGGCCTCGTTATCATAATGCGGATGACCGAAAATCAATTTCTGTCCCTTGCACCAATATGGGGAAATAAATGTGGGATCGGTATTAAAAACCGAGGTTAAATAATAATGAGTTGTTAAAGAAAATAAAAAGCATTTCAAGAATACATTCAAACATAATTCTCTATATTTAAAATACCCAAAATGTGCGTAATAATAATTCCAGCAATACACAATAGAAAAAAAATGGTTTTTATAGTCTGTCCCCGAAGGTTACAAATGAATATATAGTGCGTACATTTGTTTTTTTTTTTGTTTTTGTTTTTGCAAACGAAAGGAAGCTTCTTTTTACTATACTATTTTATAAGGCAGTTGGAAGGCTCTATAGTGCACAAAGGCGACTTTCTTTGATGCAGAATTTTCTTCCACTGAAACTAAAGCTCCTTATTGCCAAGACATGCCTGACACCCTTGCTATTTTTTAGAATAGAAATCTTCAGAAACTGTGATTCCATAACGACGTACGCCAATAAAAAATACAATTTGACCCTTAAATCCTGGATCAAAGTAAGAAATCTAATCTTCTTGCATAGAATTATTACAATTAAGAAACCAAGTTATTTGCACGAAAAAATTACTTTCACGACATCAAGAAGAACCAATAGTTTGCACAAGATTCAAATTAGCAAGTTCAGAAAAGTATTTTCGCGGTTCGTCTGCGGAATGAGTTACCGCATCAACCAAAACAATTATCAGCGAAACCCACTTTAGAGTTAAGATTCAAGAACAGTTAGAAAACTTTATCTAAATTAATTAATTAATTTCCTAAAACTTAATATTAACCATGCACTTAGTTTAGTAGGCAAAATTCATTAAGCATTAAACTGATAAAACAAACCTAAAATATATTTAATAATTATAAAGATGAATAAAAATGTATAATGTTAAAAATAAAATTAATAATAAGAAAATAACCTAATAATAATCTCATAATAATTTAAAAGTAATCCAATACTTGAAGCGCTAGGATAGGGCTTATAAATAAATAAATAAAATAAATAAATATAAGCTAAAACTTTGATACTTCAAGCTCACAAACTATTACCTGTTTTGCTAAAGTCAAAAACTAGCTTGATATATCAAAACATAATGAAACTTACTTTATGCGGCAACAAAATCATGAATGTTTGTATTTAAATATTTAATTATTTTCTTGATTTGTTTCGCTCCTTAATAAAAGAAGGACAGCAACCTCCATTTTATGTTGACAAACATAGGCAGTCCTCAAGGTAAAACAATTACAAAATTATAGGTAAGACTTGTAAGCTAGGAGAGCATAAAAATCTAATAAAATTAAAAGAATATCTTATAAACGCCTCATGCTATGCGTCGTCTCACAGTCGAGTTTGGTCAGATATTCCGTAGATGGCCAAAAAAAGGAGGCTTTTTGAAAAGGTAGCCACAGTTTTGATTTTAAATTAAAACGAAATACTATGATTTTTTAAGATTTTGAGTTTAGAGCACTCTACTCAAAAAAATATATGGGAATACCTTTGACATAAGCTTTCAAAATGTAACCAATTAGCAATATGCTCTCTTACACAGAAATTAGTCAAGGGGCTAATGCCATTAGGGACAACATTTTTCTATGAAAAATCGGACAAGTCTAATTATTTGGAGCTACTGTTTAATTTATATATGTATGCCTATAAAATAATGAGTTCTATTTATGCAGATAAAATTGCTTGTTTGATTAATATTTCGCTGACTAATAGATTCACAGATCTTGATGAAATAAAGACGATTATAGGAATCAAACATCAGAGACTTGTTCTTTATATGGCAGAAGAAAACCTAACATGCATTCATATGTAATTAGAACATTAAAACAGTTGGCCTTTAAATATTAAGATTATTTACTTTTGGGGAAATACAAAATCCTTGTTTGAGTTCATTGTATAATTCCCCATTTGTATTAATAAATGCGCAGAAAGGAAAACCTTAAAGCTTGTCCAACCCATTAAAGCTAAGACTTAGCGCTCACACTCGCAGAACTTTTTCCTTCCACACCCCAAGAAGTAGCGGCGCCTTTTGAATGTGGTGGGTGGATGTGGGATTGGAAATGGAAATGGGAATGGGGTGGATATGGGGTATGGGGTTGGCATTGCGTTGAGTTTGAGCGCCTGCACCAGGATCCTAATTACATTTTACTAGATAAATTGTAAACTTTTTCTGTGCACGCTGCCGTTGCAGCTTCTTTCAACAGTTATATTTTGTTTGAGTTCTTTGCGTCGGCGTCGTCGTCGTCGTCGTCGACGTCTCTGCCGTCTTCTACGCTGCAAAGCAAACAGAAACAGACAAGCAAACGAAGGCACAGTCAGTCGGACATGTTGGACAAGTCAGACAGACAGACAGACAAAACATTCAGGGAGCTGGTGCATTGGGTGTTGTTGTTGGAGTTGTTGGAATTGTTCCTGCACAGGCAGGCGTATTGTTGAAAAGTGCGCGCTGTGATAGCGACACCCTGTATTTTAGAGCTTACCGTACGTGCTGCGTTTGTAAGCATATTTCCGGCAACGGATGTCTGCAGCAGCAAATGTTGGCTCCGGCCAAACGAGCTACGAGCAACTAGCTGGCAATACGCCCCCCCACGCAGCTCCTAACCTGCCCAGCCAGATAAAAAGTCAGTCAGTGCTGGTTACACATTTTCAAAAGTGCTTGGCGCTACATACAGCGCCCTGCCATTAGTCGTCGTCGCAGTCGTGGCGTGTGGCAGGGATAGGGGCGCCCATAAGCATGCTGGCTGGTGGGCGTGGTGGCGTGGGCGTTAGCATGGCCAGCCCGGCGCTATGTGTTGCACTTCAAGTTAGCGTGCGTGTGTGTGTATGTAGTTTTACGCAAATATTTGCATCTGGAATATTTGCGCGCTCCATCATAATTCAAACACAGATGCGCTGTTTGCAGAAGAGCAATCATTTTGACATGCAACTCGCTTCAAAACCGAATTAAGTGGCATTCAGCGTCAGTCACGAAGTGGCTGCCCAGGCCCATGTAGGGCCACTACCAGTGCCACCAATGGCAGTGGCTTTATGCATTTAAAATTGAAAATATAGAAAATAGTATCGAGGTGCTACGATTTCTTTTGCGTTCAGAAAAACGGGTAATAGGTGTTAATATAGGTGATTTTGGCGCCATCTAGCTGTTGACTTTGAAACGTCAGTCAAATTAGTATTCATAAATGCCCGGTAGGTTCGCTAGTGTACCCAATTTACGTTGAAGTCCATGCTAAGTGGTTGAGTGTTAATAAGTCAGCGCACCATCAATACATATGTTCGATAGAGGGCAGTTTTGCCAATTCGATACAATAAACAATACATTTTCCAGCACTTTGCACATTCATTCGTGTGCGCTGTGTTAAAATGGACATCAAAGCGAACGATCGGTCATGCTGTAGCCTTGCAAGATGCGCAATAAAATTGGCGAACGAATATAGTTTGTTTTCACATATTTTAAAATTTGATGGTCTGAACATACCTTAACAGCTGTGCAATGGGAATGTTTATGCTCTTAAAGGTGTTACTAGCGCCTCATAGCGGCAAATATATAACAGCTGTTCTGCGCGGCTGGTTTTCTTTTTCTTTTACAGGTTATGTTTACATTCGCGTAATGCGGCAAATTAAACCTCAGTAATAAGTAATATTAATAAATACTGTGAGAAATGTTGAAAATTAGGTATTTATTGCAAGTGTCGCCAAATTTAAATATGGCACACATGCCAAGTAGATGGCAGCAGCTTGGATTGGCGGCAGCAACGACAAGGCATTTTCAGACTAGTGGACAACATTTTAAGCGCCGAAAAACAGCAGAGGAAAAGGTAAGCGAAATAGGCATATGTATGTATGTTGTTACATATCGAGGGCACACTGACTAATATTGCAGAAATCCCCCAGAATTATTGAATATTCGCCAAAGAAACCTCAATCGGCAGATGGATTTTCCGCTTCTTCTGCTTCCAGTTCAGGGATTTGGCGGCACATGACAGTTGCCCAACTGGCCAAGGCTCTGCAGCGTTCGTTGGGTAAGCAGAGGTATATTATAATTCTTTAAATGATATATTAATAAATCTACTTGGCAGACGATGTTCAGGAGGCAATGCTGTATGTGCCTGGCGCGGACAATATAGAGCCAAACGCCCGGCTAGAAGACTTGAAACTTATACAGGATATTTCCAAGAAACTAGGCTGTAAGACGCGCGTCGTAGCGGCACCCGATAATATTCTGGAGGATGACCTCAAGGAGCGGGATGTGGCTCCTAGGCCCCCAGCCTCGCCAGAGCAATTAAAACCCCGCCCACCTGTTGTTACCGTCATGGGCCATGTGGATCATGGCAAAACCACGCTTTTGGACTCGTTGCGTGGCGCTGATGTGGCTGCTGGCGAAGCCGGTGGTATTACACAGCATATAGGCGCCTTTACAGTTACAATGGAGAATGGGGAACGGATGACTTTTTTGGACACTCCCGGCCACGCTGCGTTCAGCGCGATGCGCGCTCGTGGCGCTGTGGCGACAGACATTATAGTACTGGTCGTAGCAGCGGAAGATGGTGTGATGGCTCAAACGAGAGAGGTCATACAATTGGCCAAAGATGCGCAGGTGCCAATTATTGTGGCACTAAACAAAATCGACAAGCCAGAGGCGAACATTGTAAGTGACATCAATCTTCAACATCAACTGCATTCACAGTTTTATTCTTAGGAGAAAAGCAAAAGCGAGTTAGTCCAAATGGGACTCGCGTTGGAGGAGTATGGTGGTGAGGTGCAAGTCATACCAATATCAGCGCTTAAAGGCACGAATCTGCAGCTTCTTGCAGAGGCTGTTAGCACGCAAGCCACACTCATGGGCCTGAAAGCAGACTATACCGGCCTCGTTGAGGGAATTGTGGTTGAATCCAAGACTGATCCACGTCGAGGCAAGTTGTCCACGGCCATTGTGTCTCGTGGCACACTGCGCAAGGGAGCGGTTCTTTTGAGCGGCATGGCGCATGCCAAAGTGCGTGGGCTCTTCGATCACAATGGCCAACCCTTGTCTGAGGCCCCACCAGGTACTCCCGTCGAAATTTTGGGTTGGCGCGAACTACCGCTGGCTGGTGAGCTTATCCTGGAAGTGGAAAGTGAGGTGAGCATAGCATACAAACCCCCTCGTCTACAGATAAGTTGGAAAAAATGTTTCTAACTATTGTTCAGTTGCTTCAATCTTCGTAAATACATTTGCTTAGACTGTTCAAATCGTACCGTGCTGTTCAGAAAATTAGCGATAATTTAAATTAGAAACATATTTTATGTCGCTAAAAAATTTGAATTTGTCCACAGAAAAAGGCGCATTCGGTGCTCAAATACCGTGAACACGAATCACAGCGCCAAAAAATAGAGTCTAGCGGCGACGACATACGGAAGAAGGAGGAAGAGCATCATGCCAAGTATCGGGCCGAGCGTGAGGCACGACGCTTGGCCGGAAGATTTCGCATGCGAGGTGGTCAGCGTGTGAAGGAGAACGTTACAAATGATGACACCCCCCGTGTCAGCGTAATAGTCAAGGGTGATGTGCATGGCTCTGTGGAGGCCATACTCGATGTGCTGGAGACGTATAATAGTAACGATCGCTGTCGCCTAGATATTGTGCATTATGGTGTGGGCAATGTAACGGAGGGAGACCTGGAGTTGGCCAAAGCCTTCAATGCAGTAATCTATGCATTTTCCGTAGAGACTCCGCAAATAAAGGCGACTAAGGAGGTCAATGTGCGTACATACAATGTTATCTATAGGCTCATTGATGATCTGAAGGAGCAATTAAGCAGCAAATTGCCGCCCGTCGAAGTGGAGGAAGTGCTCGGCGAGGCCAATGTGCTACAGCAGTTCTTCATTAATGAGGGACGAAAGGAGGTACCTGTGGCCGGCTGTCGCTGCACCAAAGGTGTGCTGAAGAAATCTCAAAAGTTTCGGCTGCTACGCAATGGTGAAGTGATCTACGATGGTGCTCTGGAGTCCATGCGGCATCTAAAGAACGAGGTGGAGTCCATTAAGAAGGATGTAGAGTGTGGGTTGAGGTTTCTGGACAACAAGGTGATTCCACAACCGGGTGATACCATGATCTGCTACACCACGCATACAGAAAAACAAAAAACAGATTGGGATCCAGGATTTTAGTTAAGGCACAACAATTTGCTATCGCTTGCCTGTTTCGTTAACTACTTATGTAAGTATGTGAGAGGTTTTAAATCTTCTGGTTGCAAGAAAGGAATTGTTCATGTTGAAAACAAATCTATAATGCTACAATATTTGTAAGAATGGGCTAGCTTGTGTTGGAGAACAAACCGATCTTATAATAGCTGATATGTATAAGCCTGAAACTATAAATGAAATGTGTATAAATGAAATAAACAGCTTTGTTACATGAATGGACCCAGAAATTTTGTCTAAACGTATGATATGTGTGTGGCATCTGTACTCCGCTGTTATCATGAGTATATGAATGCATATATATTTATATATTTTTGTACAATTCGAGTGTGTATTGTGTGTATATAAAACGTATTCACTACGGACGACTTAACTTCCTGTTGATCTCGGTGGCTATGCGAACGCTGTCACCCTTCACCCACATGCTGGAGCTTAGGATAACGTGGCATCAATGCACAGTCGGAGCTGTGGCAGCGGAACTGTCGCCGATAAGAAAGGGGCCGTTTAGTTTTTCAGTTTTCATAAATCTGTGGAGCCCCTGGCTGTCCAGGCCCGTGACGGAAGCTGCGCTGTCGACGACGTGCTGTCTAAATGGGTCAAAGCAATGCTAATTGGAGTTCACCCACACCACGACGATGCTTTCTTATACACAAAACCATATACACTCGCACACACACGCACACACATAGTGCGGCAGCCTTTTTTCGATAAACAGTTTCCGTTTGGCTGGCAATTAGCATGTAGTTCTATGCTCATGAATGAATGCTTTAGTATTGTTTTAAATAATATAAGTATGAATAAAATAATTCAAGCGCGCTCTAAATAATCTCGCTTCACTTTGCCTTGAATTTGTGCAAAGTTCTCATTTGTATATTTTCGCAGTCGTAATTAGTTAAGCTCGAGTGTGTTTATTTTTAGGTTAAGTACACTTATATACTTATACATTTCTACCAGCATAGTTTATAAGGGATAGTGCCCAAACCGCTATGCCTTATCAGTTCAACTAAAAACTATTTCCTCTCCTACAAGAGTCACAGCGGAAGCTTTACCACGACGTGTTTGTGGTCCTAAACTCAACTTTCGCCGCTTGTTGCTAGTTTGATAAAATAAATTATGCGGAAGTAGAACATGTGTCTGGGGAACTTTATATGAATGAATTTAGTCGAAAAGAATTATAAATGGGCAATGCAAAATTTCGAGCAACCGGTCCAACTCATTGACTGACTGTGCGATTTGATACGATCGGACAATGTCGAGTTAAATGTTTAATTAGTATGCATTTTTGTAGATGCTTAGTCTTCGACCCTGGAACCACATGATATGCCCTCGCGAGGGTCTGCCATGTCTGGCATGTAGCGGAAAATCAAAGTCAACTGCCACATGTGCGGCAGCAATTAACCAGAGAATGTTTTCCAATGCATTCAGAGAATGACATGTGCGCCAAGGATCGGCCGACGACTCTGCAGAAGGATCAGACACTGACAACTCAATGTTGCCGACATGTGTTTGTCAGCACTCATTAGGGGCTCGGGATCATGGGTGCAATGCTACTTATTTCGCATGTGATAGTAAATCACTTGTTGGCGGGCATCTTAGCACCGATAAAGAAAACAACACAGAAACCCAAAAGCCAATTGTGCATGACTATGACAATACTCTTTCTCTCTTTCTCTATCTCGAAGGTGCCATTAAGGAGCATTTGGGAGATCATGTTATTGCTGAGAATCAAATTATAAAATACTTAATGTCAGCCCCTGTTTATTTAAGTTGAAAGTTTCGCGCCATTTACTAAAAAGATTGTGCATAGTTCGAATGAAAATACCGAAGTCGGCTACATAATAAAGTACAGAGCACACATTTTTATAAAGTTTCGTTATTTTCTTTAAATGTAATGTTCGCTTTGATTCGTGAATATCATTTCACTTGTTTCATATGTTTAGAAATGGAAAATACCCGTTAATTGGAATTTGTAAGTAGGCGAAACAAAAACTGCATACTTTTAGGGTCAACCTTACGGGCTTGCTGCCAATGGCAGATTAATTTGTCAATTACTTTTCACACAGAAATGAGTAGACTAGGGTTTCTTTAATGTAAAAATTCTTTTCTTATGTAACCCAAATAGCCGGATAATAATGACACATACTTATGCTACAGAAGGAATATGCGATGCCTGGCTGAACAATTTGTATATCCTCAAATTTTGATCTTTGATAAAAGTTGAAGGAATTGCGAACAAATTCTTAATTGAAACAATGTTATTTCACAAAAGTGATCACAAGCTGCAGCTGAAATTTTCTTCAAGCTTGACTAAAAGAGAATTGGATTTACTGAACTGTCCGATTTTATTCGATTTTGAATGATTCACGTCCTGGAATCTGGCATTCCTTCCTCTACTTGTGTTCACAAAAGTGATCAAGCATAGGGAATACAATCCAGTAGTTATAAATAGCTACATGCCGTACAGCAGCAGACCAACGCATATAGAAATATGATCGCGACACGGTTAAGATAAACTAAGACAATTAATGTATAATTGAAATAATTGCAATGTTTAGAGCGTAAGAAAGAGTAAAATAGTAAATTGTTAGTACTTAACGAAAAACTAGTATTAAAGTTAAAAATTGTATAAATACTGAAGGAATTCAGAAATAAAATTTGAGCGAATTTGGAAATTAAGCACTGGTTTGTTTCCTTTCTGTTCTCCCAGAGATGCGCTGTAGCTTTCAATAAATAAAGTGGTGGCCTCTGGTAGTAAATCATGCGAAGACAGTTAGTTCGCGTGTTTTACAACTGGCTTCATAGCTCATTGACAACAAAAGATGCCCCGTAACTAGCTTTTGGCAATACAGAGTATTAAAGTTGTCAGCGTGCAACGCATGCGAAAGCAGCAGATACTCACACAAGCCCGCGAAGATCAGTTGCAAAGTTCATGCTGCACTGCGCTGAGAGCGTGTGAGTAAAAAAAAGTTGTTGAGTTGGAGAGCGAGTCGGAGTCATGGGAGCGACAGATCGCACGCTGCAAAAACCGCAAGGCATGTGCGATGATTCCCAAGTTTAGTCTTAAGTGGGGGCTACAGCAAGCCGGTTGCTTGACAGGTCGCAGGATCACAAAGCTAATTTTGATTATACAGCCGAGGGAAGGGAGAGAGAGAGAGAGAGAGAGAGAGAGAGAGGGAATTTGAAGGCGTTCGTTTCATGTGTATGCGATTTGGATTTATAGTTTTCGAAGCAAAATAAATTTGATAAAACCAAAAAAACCGCAGCTCAGAAACAATCGCAGCAAACCTTTTGAAGCTTTATCCGAGAGTTTTTGATAAGAAGGCGCAGCACATTAGAAGCGTTTTGAACGGAACGGAAACGCGCAGTTTGGCGAGAAAGGGCACTATCGCTCCACTATTGTTGTTGCTTCGGCTGCGTTGCTGCGACTACGTCGGTCGATATTGCTGCTTCTGTTTCTGCTGCTGGTGGTTGCTTGTACAGAACTAGAGCGATCGTGTGGGCATTGGTCGATCAGTTGCTGTCGTGCGCTCTAACCCTGCGGGTGTGTCTTTCTCCAGAAAAACTAACAATCGTGCCGACGCGTTACATTGAGGAGCGCCCGATCTCCCCCCACCCTCGATGCGTTGCATGTCCTTTCTGTTGGGGCTGCAATCGTACAGATCTGTTTAACGAAATGGGTGTGCACGTCAATAAATAAATAAATAAATAAATCCGGTGGCAAGTGTGCAAAATAATTAAAACTCAATTTGCAATTTAAAGAGCAAACAATTTTGACAAACATTTGCATATTTGAAGTGCGAAAAAAGCCGGGAGAGCAAGCGAAATAAAATTAAATAAATCGTGAGTTGCGCGCAAGGATAAACAGAAAGGAGGAGAAGCACGTTGCCGTCGATTATTATCAGCGGCAAAATGGATTTATCAAGGCGTTTGCGGTAAGCATCAGACAAACATGTATTCCATAGATACAAAATGGTAGACAAGTGTGCTGTCGTCGTTCTCGTCGACATCGCATCGTCCCTGATGTTGGTTGGCGTCAGTGTTTGGCATGAAATTGATTCCTTTTGTGCTCGCCACAAATTACTGTGCCAATGGAAATTTTAATTTCATTTGAACTACATGGGCAAACACTTTGTATGGCTGGCAGCCCGACTCGTTGCCTGATTCCAATTGTCCTGTACGTTTACATGCCAATCCAGCTCTCCATTCCCATGTGCTTGTGCTAGTGTGTGTGTGTGTGTGCTTAGTGTGTGTTGGTTGTGCAACAGGCACCCGCCCTTCCTTGTTGACACTTCCATTCCGGACTGAACTGGCTGACTGCTGCTGCTACGAGTATCATCCTGCCCGCCATTTTGTTTGCTCGCCAAATTACATTGCCATCTTAATTGAAGTTGCTTAATGAAAATTGTGAAAATTTGTTCGCAAGCATTCCGCTTCATTAGCCTAATGTACACTAATAACACAATGCCTCGCTAAAGGACTCCCCAAAGCCAGTCTATAATCTGTGGCCGCCAATAGAGTTTTGAAGTAGCTCCGACTCTTTTTCTAGAAATAATTTACAGAAGATGACTCGTACGGTTAATAAATTGACTGCATTTAAAAAAAAAATTGGAAATATGATACATTTTGTTTTGTTCCCACACAATTAAACATTTCTTCCCATTTTAGGCATAACACTATTTTTAAGAGTTGGCTAAACTTATGTACGTGTGTACGAGTGATAATGATGAGTAAAGTTCATTTTTCAATTAATGTAAATAAAACTATTCAAAGGTAAAAGTACCAAATTGTTCAGCAACATAAAATAAAGATTTACTTTGAGAATGCTGCTGGTAGAAATTATTCCATGAATGTGCTAATTTATTGCACATGTCTATGAAATTTCATTAGAGTTTCCTTGCTTCTGAAGTACAGGTATGAATGTATGTTCTACAAGTATATATATGCATATACATAAATTTCCGGCCAGAAACTAAAAAGCACACACACATACCCACGCACAGACAATTAATAATCGACACCCGCCGTTTCCATACAGAGTACGAACTGGCAAACACTAATCCATATCCACTGGCTCATTGGCTGGCTCACCTGTGCCATGTTGCCGACCACTTTGGTGTGTGCTTTTGTTGGCTTACAAAAATCAAAAATCAAATGGTCTGAAAGCATGGCCACTTTGTTTGCGATTCCACAAAAATCCAAATCAAATTTCATATTGAAATGTAAATATTTATGTAAAGCGTTTGCCCGACGATTGCGTTCGAAAACTGTTGCCCATTGTAGTTTTGGTGCGTGCGCTTTGAAGTGGCCTCCCCATCCGAGTACCTGCCACTTTTCTCGTCCATGCCACCGCCACCTGCCCCATCTGCAGCTTAAAAAAAAATGAAGCGATGCAGCAGTCAAGAATTCAAAGTTGATTCCATGTTGCTGTTGAAAGATCAGCACTCGAGTCGGGACCAGACGAGCAGAAGGCCAGACGGCCAGATCGGGGAAACCTACGCATGCTTGACATATCTCTGGTATGATCTGAAACTAACTGTGCCGTCAGTGCCTGCCCGCCTGTTGACCGCAGCATTGTGTGTGTTTTATTTTTGGCCAAAGTCATAAAGTTGCTCGCTCTGTTTTAGCTTTTGCTTTGGAACGCACAATTTTGCCTCACGACATGGCATAAAATGTGTGCCCAAAACTCGTTCCCTCGCTCTGATTGTCGAATTGCCGGTCTGTGTGTCTTTCTGTGTTTCTGTCTTTCTGACAGTCTGACCGACTGGCAGTTAGCCCATCCATATTTATTCGTCAAGTTTTAAAGTTTTTCGCGAAAATTCTCGCTTTGGCCATTTCACTTGGTGCTGAAAGCGAAAATTCAGTTGCCGTTGTTGTCAACGACACTCGTTGCCGTTTCTTGTCTCTCTATTGATGTTGCTTGGTTCTAAGAATCGAGCACTGAAATATGGCCAACACATGACTAGATGCTGCTCAATGGCTAAAGCGACATGCCACATAGATAGAAGATTTAATCATAATTCTTTTGAAAAAACATTTTATCAAAAGTTTTCTTTGATTGTCCAAAAATGTTCTTTAATTTTCAATTAAATTGAATGACAGTTTAACAATTAGTTTTTAATTTCACTCAAGATATTATTCTTTCTTACTTATTTCTCTAATAAAAAATCCGTCCATCTTCTACTACAAAAACTATAGCTTTTGTTTGAAGCTTATATAGTAGAATGAACTACTTGTATTTCCTAAAAAAATAAAATGATTCGAAAAAGGAGACTTGGCAACACATGGACCGCGAAAATAACTTTACTGGTACTTTCAGGAATTCCAGAAATTCAATTCAATTTAAGAGCAAGATTTTTAATCAGTTTAGAATAAAATTAAGTATTTATAACATAATATAAAATAAAATGTGCCGAGTTATAATAAACTTTTTAATTTGTAAAAAGTAACCCAGATTAATAAGCTAAGTACCATATAACACTAAAGGGTAAAAGGTATAAATGATTTGATTGGACGTTCCAGCCTATGGCGCTTCTTCTGTTGCCGGCCGGGTCAGCTCACATCTCTCACAGCTATTACCTATCTAGGCTTTAATGGCACAAACTTAACGTTTAATGCACATGTGGCCATAAAGTGGTCAGCAGTTGATTACATAAAATGAACTTTGTGACTCGTAACGTCTTTGAACTTGACAAGCGGCGCTTCATTTTTGAGACTCTCTTCCGAAACTGGCCATAATGAACCAAGAAAGCTTTCAGTTGCTCTCGGCAATGATTTGAACTCAATTTCAATTCACCATATATTGTAAATGATATACACATATGTGTGTGTGTGTGTGTGTGTGTGTTTGTACATCATACAGTGGACCAAAAATAAAAGCTTACCTATTCCTAGGCTATGTACTCTTTAGATCTGCTTGCTGGCAGTGTTTGTTATGTTTTTAACCATAATTTGTTCGTGGAAAAGCACTAAATTAGAAACTACAACAACCACTAACACCAATGGGTAGTTGCTGGGCGAAACTAAATTGTTTATTAAGTGTTTGTGTGCGTTTAACTATAAACAATAAATTCCTAAATTGTATGCACGCTGCGCAGTTGCCTTGAAAGAGTCGAAGAACTCACGCAATACTTGTATCATGAACAGAAACATAAGCAGACACACGCGCCCGCACACATACACATACACATACTATACTCGAATATATGCATATATACATAGAGTTGTTCTGATGTACACATTGCATAATTGAGCTTTAATTACTGTAAATAAATCTTATGCAAACGCTAATCTAATGAGGCAAGACGAAACTATTGAGTGGGTGGGTGGTAAATGCGTCTGATGGGAGATTCGATTTATTCGAACCGATGCGCAAACGCAACGCCGGAAATGTCACACACACATGCACTCACATACACATATGCACACACACACTCGATGAAATTTGATGTGTTGCCTGGAATTGAAATGGGAATTGAAATTCATGTGCATGTCGAATGATGGGGCGGCAAATGAGCAACAAATTAAATGCATACCAAGCGTCTTGCAAATAATAATGCGCCTCCTTGTTGTTGCCGCAGCCCCTCCATAGCTCAATTACAAAAGCATCATCGGCCCAAGTTCAAGTCGGCAATGTTGCACGCTGCATTTGCAACATGTGTTGGCCCCCACACCCATAGCAGAAATGTTAGCCATCGCGCCGTAGATCATCTGATCATGGTCATGGAAAAAGTCTTCTTCTCAGGCCTTATGCTTTTATATGCTTAATTAATAAAAGTCGCCGCCATGTTGCAGGCACATTAATTTATGCAATCGGGCTACTTTAAGTAACTTGGAGTTAAGACAACAGAGCTGGGTATCCGTTTTGCAGGGTGTGGTCAGAAAAGTTCTTGAAGAAATAATACAGTAAAATATATAAAAAAACCAAACAAGCCAAACTATTTTAATTAAAGTCTAAATATTGTTTTAACGTGTAGAATCTTTTTGAGCTGCCGATTGTATGCAAAACTACTTATAAACAGTAGTTTCCTAAATAATATATTGTTTTTATTAGTTTGTCAGCTAAAAATTTAATTATCATAAGCGTGACGGAAAGACTTCGGCTTTTTCTTCATGAAAGTCTGCACAATAAATACGGATAATAAAACAAATTACAGATTTAAAAGAGGCCAGGATTGTTAAATCTTTTACTTCAGTTTGGGAGATGTTCGGCATCGAGCACCAAATATTTTGTGCCCATCCCACATCTACTTCACATAATGTGGATAGTAAACGAGTCCACACACATAAATTTGTGCATGCATGTCCACGTATGTGAGTGAGTATGTAAATGTTAACCAAAATGTGCATAATTAAATCGATAGGCGGGCAAGTGATGCCGCAAGCCAGACATGCCGGGAGAGTTCATTGCACGCTGCAACGCGGAAGATGAAAAGGATGCCCCAAATGAACAAAATATGCCACTAATACTGAGAGATCAGCGTCAGACAAGACACAAGACACAAGAAACAAAAACAAAAACAAAAATGACCGCAGAAATATCCAAAAATTTTTAGCATGAAAACGAGCCACTTTGCTATGTTGACGATGCGTCACATGCAGCAAGAACAACAACAAAAACAACAACCACAACAAGTAAGACAATTCACAGCACAGTGGTGTTATTCTTGAATAAAACCGAAAGTTATAAACGACTTCAAATACTCTCTTATATCGGTGAGAGATACTTTACCGCTTAAGTTTGGAAAATCATTTTCGCTTGGACTGCTGAATAATATAAATTTTAAAAACTGATCGTTTCATTTGTTTTCGAAAGGTGAATGTTTGAGTAATTCAAAGTGATTAATTAATTGATGTGCCAATGATTTGCATTCGTATGTTAGATCGGTTTTGTTCAAGAAACGTGAAAACAATTAGTACGGACTCAGATAATTTT